AAAAAGAAAAACCCTGTTTAAAAAAAACCAAAAAAAAAAAAAAAAAAAAAAAAGAAATGTTAAATTGCTAACAGGAAATGAATAAGAGACTTTTAGAAACACCATCAAAATTAAAGAAAGATATTGAAGGGCAGGAGATTAATAAGAACATCTTAGAGATTGTGTCAAAACTAAAGACTTCTCACAACCTGTGCTCCCACCCGCCCTTCTCCAGCTGTGCCTCATCTATCAGCAGGAAGTTAAATACCTGGATCAGATAGTGACTCCCTCAGGATTGCTCATAAATCCTGACGGTACTGCTATTAGAGAGATTCCTACCCCCAAGACAAAAAACAATTGGGAGGATTCTTAGGACTGACTGGTTATTGTAGAAATTGGTTTCCAAACTATTCATGAATTGCCCAACCACTATAAGAAACTTAAACAGGCCAACCAGATATTGTGGAATTTGGAGGAAGAGAAAGCAATTAGTACCCTAAGAACAGCTTTACACCACGCCCTTTCCCCAGGGCACCCAAACTATAACTTTCCCTTCTGGAATATATACACAGTTTAACTCATTAGGCATCTGAGGATTTTCCTGAAAGAATCCTATTATAGGGTCATTCTGCTGCTGTGACAAAACCTTGGTCAAAAGCAGTTCTGGGGAAGAAAGGATCTATTTGGTTTATACTTTCATGTCACAGTCCATCACTGAAGAAATTCAGGAAGGGAACTCAAGCAGGAGCTTGAAGCAGAAACCACAGAGGAATGTTGAGTGCTAGCTCACTCCAGCTCATGCTCAGCTAGGTTTCTTTTATGTATGTTATTTGTTTTTTGAGACAGGGTCATCAGATAGTCCCACTTGGCTTGAAACTTACTATGTGAACCAGGCTGCCCTTGATCTCACAGAGACCTGCCTGCCTCTGCCTCCCCTCATGCACCACTAAGACCAGCTCAGCTGACTTTCTTATGTAATATTGAGCCAGATGCACTGAAGAATGCCACATAATGATGGTCGAGTTAGCAGTCGGAGAGTGGTTG